GAATATGACTACCACGGCGAACTGATAATCGATCACGAACTAGTAAGAGTTACTGTGAATACAATAAATGAAGAACAAGAATTCATAGAAGAATCAGACAAAGATACAAATATAGAAGTGAGCACTGGAAGAGGTAGGGAGAGAGGTAGTAGTAGAGGTAGAGGTAGAGGTAGAGGTGAAGAAAGAGGTAGAGGTAGAGGAAGAGGTAGAGGTAGAGGAAGAGGTAGAGATGAAAAACAAAGTAACCATTTAGATTCAGAATTATCATTATTAGAATCAACCACTTTTAATCCTATTCAAAATATTTATCCACTCCATAGAGAATATACGACACTTCCCCATGAACTTCAACTAGGCATTGTATCACCACTTTTGCTCTTTCAGTTATTTTTTACCAATGAGCAGTTGTGTTTAATGGTCGAGAACACTAATACATATGAGCAAGTAAAGGGTAGAGTAGGTGGTTGGGTTTGGAATCCATTAACTTTGAATAAACTAAAGATTTGGCTTGGACTGATAATTTACATGGGAGTTGATCATATTAACGTGATGGATGATTTGTGGAATCAAGAAGATAAAAGGGCGAACCATGAAATTAAATGGTTTATGTCTCTATATAGGTTCTAACAAATTAAAAGATTCTTCTATATTTCAACACCAGGTCAACCTTATCCACACTGGTACTCAAAGGTCGAACCGTTCGTATTGCATATTCAAAGTGCAGTTAAAAAATATTATGTCCCTAGTTTGCAAGTATCCATTGATGAATGATCATACGTTTTTCTGGGCGAAGTGTGCACACAGTAAGAGTAAAAAACAAACCTACTCCGGAGGGTATGAAATTTTTTCTCTATGTAACTATGGTTATACATGGGCATTTATGTTTTCTTCGTGAGTCAAAAAAAATAACTTAATAGAATCTATTCCTGGACTTAATAATACTGGATATTTGGTCACACATTTGGCTAATATGCTTCCTAATAATAAGATGTATTACATATATATGGACAATTAGTTTTCTAGTATCACACTTTTTTGAATATTTACGAGAAAAGGGTATTGGTGCTTGTAGCACCATTCGTACGAATTCATCCATGTTTCCTAAAGAATTAAAATTTGGTAAAGAAGTAGCATTAGATTGGAATACACTCTAAAGAAAAGTAGTTAAGAATATTTTGGTTATTTTTTGGGTAGATAATGGCCTTGTGACTATGCTGACTACTATTTATGAAATTTTTGGTAAAGATTGGAAAGTTATTCATAACAGGTGGTGATTCTGTGAAACAAGTTCTAATGCAAATATGGTGTGTCGAGTTTTTGGAGATAGACATCGAAAAGAATTGGAGATCTCGTGAGTAATTAATAACTACAACCATTACATGGGTGGAGTCGATATCACTAACCAACTTTGTGGATATTACAACTGTCAGTTGACAGTTAAACAAACATGGCTTTCTTTATTTTTTTGGATTCTAGATACTGTTCTTGTAAATTGTATAATTATTTATCATAAAGAACTAATTCGAATATCTCAAGTAAGGAATTTAGAGTTAATTTAGTTTGGGATTTGATTAGTGAAGCTTTAAACGTTGCGAAAAAAAAAGGAGCCTCAAGACCTTCCAACATTATCAAAAAAAAAATGAATCATCGTAAATAAAAATTTTGAACTGCCTTTAACTCGCTTAATAGAGGGAGACTATTTTGTCGAATGGAAAAAAAAAAAGAGAGTCTTGTATTTATTGCCGTTATTTGGCACAACGTGGCAAAAAGGCTATTGATTATGATAATCTTCCACAAAGTAACCTCTGGTGTGTTAAGTATAAAGTACCATTATGTTGCTCTAAAGCAAGGCCAACTTGTTTTAGAGATTTTTATTTAAATAAAGATTAAGTTTATCAAATTAATCAGTATTCTTGGGTAATGCATACTTGATTATTAGATGGTTGTGCATTTTTATCTGTTAAAATTGAAAGTTCTAACTAGTTATCCAATGCCTTAATAAAAAAGGATTGCTTCAGATCTATTTAATGATTGGTGCCACCTAAAATTAGATTTGACAAAAGTTTATTTTATTACTTTTACGTAACGTCTAATCCACAATCCAGATATTTATTCAAACGAAAATACAAAGTAAAATATTACCTTTTTAGGTTTTAAATTTTCTGAGTCTTATGATCGTTATGTAATAGTAATATCATAATTGTTATGTAACTGTAACATTAAATTCTATTACAATAAATAAAAACTCTGAATGTTTATTGCCATGTAACATCAAATTTTCCAGGCAAATTTGCCTGGAATACAGTTCAGGACAATTTTTAAATACTACAAATCTGATTTTTTTAAAAAAACTAGTAATATGAAGTTAGTTTCCAATATTTTATTTAAAGTAAATTTTCCAGGCAAATTTGTTTGGAAATAATCTACAAATTAAGGGATAAGAAAAACAGTTCAAATTCTCTATTATCAACAATGAATTGTATATAAGATGAATTAGAAAAATATTTGACTATACTATTAAAAAATAAGATAGATTTATTAGTTTGGTAGCAAAAAAGACAATATGAATATTTTATCAATTGCTAAGAATTATTTGTAAATTTAAGCAACAAGCATTGTTTCAAAGAAAATTTTCTTAATTGTTGAACAAACAATTACACTAGCTAGAAATAGATTAGATGGAGAAGTAGCAAGAGCAGTTTTGTGTTTGAAGAGTTGGTTTAGAAAAAAAATATATTACTAAATATTACAGTATTTATTTCTATTTTTTTATATATAATTGCTAATAAAATTATCAATATTATATTCATCAAATATAAAGATATATAGTTACAATTTTATATTTAATAAATCTTATATTATTTAAATTTAAAATTAAAAAAATTGCAATAACCATATTTAGAAATCTAAAATTCTAGACTTAATAAACAAAAAAAACAAAAAGCAATAAATTAAAATAAATTAAAAAATAAAAATAAAAAATAAAAAAAAAGATAAATAAAAAGCTCAAAATCTAGAACAAAAGATTTATTTCTTCTAAAAGCTAAAAATATAAAATATTAATACTATAGTAAAAAGTAAAAAAAAATTAAATTAAAAAACAAATAAAAAAAATCTAAATATATATATTTTTTAAAACCTAGATTGCCAAGATTTAAATATTAAAGCAATAATATTTTTAATAAGAATTTTAGTATAAAATACAAATTTACTTATATATAAAATCTATTAATTACATATTATTAAAAAACCATCTTGGAACTAAAACCAGACCAAGACTGAACTATGATCATATATATAACTAGTCTTTATAAAAACCAAACTGAACTAATACATCTCTAATCTTAATTATAATTCTAGTAATATAGAATTATAAACTTATCTGTATTAAAATAGGCAAAGTAATTACTTATTATTTCTACTTCTTCTAATATTTTATATAAGTAATACTGTAAATTTATAAAAAATAATTAATAATAATATATAAATATAATATGAGTAAAAAATATATATATAATTATTACTTATATTATTATTTTGTCTATCTCTATATTTATATTATACTGGCTTGTTATTATATAATATCAAATCTATATAATATAAAATATATTACTCTATTATGGGTTTGGTTGACCAAATTTGTATATTTCTTAATCAAATTCATAATATTATATAAATTTCTATTTTTATTTATCTTTGATAACTCACAATCTAGTAATCAGATATTGGTAATTCTAGTACCATTAGAATTGTTTTGATAAGACAATTTGAATAGTACTAGAATAACCAATATTAATTACTAAATTGTAAGTAATCAAAGATAGATCAAAATAGAAGCTTATATAATATTACAAATTTGATTAAAAAATATATAAATTTGGTTGACCAAGCCTATATTATATATATATATATTTTAGATTTGTAGAAAAAATAGCTAATCTTCTAAAACTATTTAAAAAAATTATAAAGCATATTTGTAAATCAACCTATCTTACTCTAAACCTTATATATCTTATATTTGTATTTTAAAAAATAAGTTTGCATTAATAAATAAAGAAGAATCATTAGAATCTTGGCTTGATTTTATTTATAGCTTAGAAGAGTTAGATACTACTAATAAGTCAAGTATTAGTAGTGATAATAAAGCTAATATACTATTAACTAGAAATTAGTAGCAATAGCAATATATATATAGAAGTATATATTGTTACAAAAATCAGAATATATATAAAAAAAATAAAACTCTTTCCGTTTATCACTCGTACACAAATTTTTTACAAAACTAATTATTTAAAAAAAAAACAGCTTACAACCTTTTTTTTACTAAGTTAATCTTAGTTTGCTACTAAATAAACTTGTTCTTTATACAAAA